AAAGAATGCTCCAACTACCGTACAATTGCACTCATTTCACACGCTAGCAAGGTTATGCTCAAAATCCTACAAGGTAGGCTTCAGCAGTATGTGGACCAAGAACTCCCAGAAGTACAAGATGGATTTCAAAGGGGCAGAGGAACTAGAGACCAAATTGCTAACATGCACTGGATTATGGAGAAAGCCAGAGAGTTCCAGAAAAACATCTATTTCTGCTTCATTGACTATGCAAAAGCTTTTGACTGTGTGGACCACAGCAAACTATAGCAAGTCCTTAAAGAAATGGGAGTGCCTGATCACATCTATCTCCTGAGGAACCTATACGTGGGACAGGAAGCAACAGTTAGAACTGGATATGAAAACACTGATTGGTTCAAAATTGGTAAAGGAGTACGACAAGGCTGTATATTGTCCCCTGGCTTATTTAATTTATATGCAGAATACATCATGCAAAAGGCTGGACTGGAGGAATCCCAAACCGGAATTAAGATTGCCAGAAGAAATATCAACAACCTCCAATATGCAGATGATACCACTCTGATGGCAGAAAGTGAGGAGGAATTAAAGAACTTTTTAATGAGGATGAAAGAACAGAATGTAAATATGGTCTGAAGCTCAACATAAAAAAAACCTAAGCTCATGGCCACTGGTCCCAGCATCATCTGGCAAATAGAAGGGAGGCAGTGACAGGTTAATTACTTGGGCTACCTGATCACTGCAGATGGTGACAGTAGCCACGAAATTAAAAGACACCTGCTTCTGTGGAGGAAAGCAATGACAAACCTCGACAGCATCCTAAAAAACAGAGACATCACCTTGCCAATAAACGTCTGCATAGTTAAAGCTATGGTTTTTCCTGTAGTGATGTACGGAAGTGGGAGCTGGACCATAAAGAAAGCTGACTGCCAAAGAATTGATGCTTTTAATTGTGGTGCTGGAGGAGGCTCTTGAGAGTCCTCTGGACTGCAAGGAGAACAAATCTATCCATTCTAAAGGAAATCAAGTCTGAGTGCTCACTGGAAGGACAGATCCTGAAGCTGAGGCTCCAATACTTTGGCCATCTCCTGAGAAGAGAAGACTCCCTAGAAAAGACCCTAATGTTAGGAAAGTGTGAAGGCATGAGGAGAAGGGGACAACAGAGGATGAGATGTTTGGACAGTGTCATCGAAGCTGCCAACAGGAATTTGATCAAACTCTGAGAGGCAGTGGAAGACAGGAGGACCTGGCGGGCTCTGGTCCATGGGATCACAAAGAGTCAGACATGACTAAACAACAAAACAACAACAAGAACAACAACAACAACATTTCCCAAATCTTTGAATGATGGGACCAATCTGCCTATCCAAGACCTAACACTTGAAGAATGGAGATCCCTTCACTATTGACATATATCCTAGTATTGTTGCTGGGCTAGGTTTGTGTCCTACCGAATTTCCAGAAAGTTATAAAATCTATCCCTATATTGAGCACTATAGAGATAGGGAATAGACATACACCGCTATGCCCTATGACATGGTTGACAGTGTCATTGAAGCTGCCAACATGAATTTGATCAAACTCTGGGAGGCAGTGGAGGACAGGAGGGCCTGGCATGCTCTGGTCCATGGGATCACAAAGAGTCGAACACGACTTAGTGACTAAACAACAACAAACAAGTATGCCCTATATTTAAACGGGATTTATGAGTAATGAGGGCCAGGAGTAAAACGCATATCTGAACCGAGATTCTCCTTTCAGAACAATTAGGCTAACAATACAAAAGGAATGTTTGTGTTCCTGATTATCTTATTTCCCATTACTACATCACTGAAAGCAGGTTACTAAAAGGAACAGTGAAATTAACCTAGCTTGATCCCTCAAGTCTGTTGCTCAGTGGGATTGTTTATTTATTTATTTTGAAAAGAAGAGATTGTTTCAATGCCTTGCTAACACTATGTGACAGGCAGGAGACAAATGGAAAGGTATACATGTATATTAATTTGAACATGCTACCAACTCTTAACGAATAGAGATGGGCATGAGCCACCAGTTTGTCAGTTTGTGCTGGTTTGTGCTTTGGACGAAAATGCATGTGTTTGGTCCTTCCCGGTCCCACCTCATCCAGCAGCTGCGCACTCGGAGGCAACGCCTGGAGGATATTGGGGGGGGGGGAATGCTGCCTCTGAGTGAGCACTCGCCAGAAAAGATGGGACTGAACAATGCTGAGCACCTGTTCATCCAAGGGACAAATTGGCACGAACTGCCAAACCGACAGAATTTCATACAAATAGTAAGGTTAGGTTTTCTATTAGTTTTTGCAAAAAATTGATTCCACATCTAAAAGTCCTCTTAAACTGATCTGTGAAGTGAGATCTACTCCAATGAAAATTTGTAGATTTAAGTACATCTGCCAGCTGGTCTACATAAAATGGAGCATATTCATTCAGAACATATTGATATTTTAATATCCCTCTAAACATTGTACGGCATGATACATTTATAATAATAAGACTGGTGTGCTGTCAAGGCAATTCCTGCTTCTGGAGACCCTCCCCCCCAACCGCCACAATATGGGGAGACAAGGCTTCTATAGTTCACAAGATGCAGGACAGGTAGACAGGCACTCCAGGAAACAATTTAGAAAAAAACAAAAGGCAAAAAAGGGTGGGCAGGGTAATATGAAATAAAAAAATTAAAAGAAATTTTTAAGTTTCATTAACCTTTATTTTGCCTTCCCAAATCTTGTTTTGGAGGCTGTTTATTGTAAAGCCATGATAGATTCAGAAAATGGAAAAGGGGCCTTTTCATAGTTTCCCCCACTCAAGTTAACCTGAAAGTTCAGTTCCTACCAGGTAATCTGTACTGTAGAGTCTGTGAAATAGGGACTACTCTAGTTTTGTTTATTTATATCATACCTTTCTCCCAGTGAAGGGATTCAAGGTGGTGTACAACAACTAAAAAAGTATATTTAAACTCCCAATAAATTATAATATTAATATTAAAACAAAATTAAACCCACAACAATATTAAAACCATTACTGACTTAAAACAAATATAAGATAGGTGACAAAAACAGAACTTGCTACACCTTCCATTAAAAACTCAAATTCTTCCAGGGCATTCACAAATAGAAAGCCAAATTAAAAGCCTTCCTGAAACAGGAAGATTTTCACCTGTTGGAGAAAAGGCAATAAGGAGGGGCCAACCTGAATTCCCTCATGTCAGAGAGAATTCCATAGAGTGAGAGCAACCACTAAAAATTGTCTCTTTCCTCACCAAACATGCCTTCAGTGCTGATGGGCCACAGAGAGAAAGCCCTCCTCTGAAGATCTCAGAGACTGGAACGGCAATATGGTTCATAGGATAGCCTGGACCCAAGCCATATAAGGCTTTATGGGTCATAACCAGTACTGTACTTTGAATGGAAATGGGAAATACACTGGCAGCTAGTGAAGTTGCAGTAACAAGGCAGTTTACACAGTCTCTTGTAATTGGTTCTACTCAGCAGTCCGGCTGCAGAATTATAAACCAACTGACATTTCCAAATCATCTTCAAAGGCAGCCCTATACAGTAGCTTGTTGTACTTCTACTGTAATTCTCATCACATAGAGGGTCCTTTCTTGCAACACATATGGCCTTATCCTTGCAACAGATGTCTGCAGGGTGAAAGCAAAGTAGGTGGGGATTCTTTCTCCTGCTGAAATCTCAGAAGAGGTGGGGCTCTGACTCAGTGTGTTTATGACACCTGCTGAGCAGCTTTTATCATTTCAAGGTGCGCACAATATCTTTCCAGAGTCACTACTACATTAGAGTTGTTCTCGGTAGCATGAGTTTAGAGGCAAGTGCTTTCTACAATGGAGTCACCAGCTACTTTTCCTCAGGTAAGGACAAAACATAGAACTTCAGGGTTGCTTTACAAGGCTCTAGACGTTATGTCTTTACGCAAGTATGCTACTTTATTCTTTCCTAACCATAACCGGATGATCATGTGATAAAACTGCATGTTGATACTGAGAGCTGTATGAAACCACGGCTTTCACTATGCCACACATACCTCTCAAAATCTCCTCACTGTAAGGAAGAACCTTTTAAAAGTCCTTCTAACTCCTTTCCAAATATTAAGGAACTGTGGACTGAGGAATATAAATAAGTGGAGTGTTTAGAATGCCAACAAGAGACAGCGGAACATTAAAGCAGTGTCATTCATCTATCTGAAAGATGCTGTGAGCCAAACAAACAAGAAAAGCAAGTGTGGGTTTTCACTGGTCAGGTTGCATGGAGATTGCTGTTCTTACGTTGACTGAAATCTCTGCTCTAGGTACTTTAAATGATGCAAATTTGAAAACAGCAAGCAGAAAAATCAGACTATAGACAATGGAGTTTGCGAAGTGAAATCAAACACAGATCGTCAAAGAGGCAGGACCTTATTGAAGACAGCAGAGAAGATGATGGCTCAGAGAAGGGCGAGGAAAAGCCATAAACCTGTAATTTTCCCTTGGAAACTTCTTTCAGCCCAAGAGCCAAATTCAAATCCAGTTTAGGTTCTCAGTGGTTGCCTTCTGTTGACGACTGCAGTTTTGAATAAAAAAGGTGGGGTCAAAAAGTACCAGTGTATCTTAGTTTGCAGCCACCACTGCCAGTAAGTAAGGCTTAGAAGATACATTTCAGTATTTTAGGAGAAATAAAAAAAATCCATACAGAGGTTGGCAACATTAAATAGCCTCCACTTGGGGAATCCCAGAGAGTCAGCTTTTACCTTCTCCCCAAGGGACTGTTATCCCACAAGGAAGAAAGGTTAGCTTGATGGGGATCTTTTCAAAGGCAGGATGCTGAGTGCGGAATTCCTCTTATGGAGAGTCAGATAGATTTAAGCTAACTTGGAAAACTTGTTTGATGCATTTCAGAAGGATGGTACTGTAGTTTTGTTCATAGGTATGTTTTAAGAATAGTTCTGTTTCTGTTCTTTTATTTTTCTCTCCTCTTTCCCCCTATGACATTGTTTCAGGTTTTTGTACATTGCCTGGGGGTGATTAATAAATGTTTAAGGAGAGAAAGAAAACTTAGCATTTTTCATTGATCCTTGAAAAAATTTACAAAATGCAGTTGGTGTTCTCAATTCCTTGCCAAATCCCCACATTCCCACCCCTGCTTTAAGCATATAATCTGACTCCTTATCTTTCATCAGCCCATATTTTGATATGCTGGTGGAGTCCCAGTCATCTATGTCCTGCATCCCTGGCCAGCTGGGGTTCAGGAAACATCCCTAAAGAACAGAAATTTTGTGAAGAATGGAGGAAACCCTTAAAATATAGGCATTTTCCCCAATTTTATTCCAGAATTTTGCTTTTTCTTTCTGGACAGGTTCTAAATAGCAAAACAAAATCATTGGGGACTCTAGAAACACAGTGGATGTACCATAATGCAGTTCAGTGGGACGCTGAATGTCAGGTAAGGTGCATGGGGAAGAAAACAAACTGAAGGGGGGTTATTTTGGTCACTAGGAACAAACAGCTGTTTAAATGTGCTAAATGGAAGCGTTTTAAATGCTTAGTAACTGGAACAATTTTACTGGTGAAACTTTCTAAGCATGCATTAAGAAAGGAAAATAGAGTTGTTGCAGTTTGGTTTTGTCTTCTGACTCTGCAACCCATAGGTTTGGAAACAGGTTGCATCACTTTCACTCAGATATCTTTCTATCTCTGTTGAGAATCACAGTCCATGCATTTTAAACTTGGCATTAAGGGTGTGACTACACTAGAACTCTGCTTTGCTTTTATTTGCTTTGAAGCCTGTATTGCATTTGAAATTGTAATCAGTGTTCACATGGAACTCTGGAATGTTTCAGGAGATCGGTGTTTGCACTGGATACATTGCAATTGGCATATCAGCCCGCATTCCTTCTTCTTTCTTTCCTTCCTTCCTCTAGTCCCACCTCTGGTTTTATTTCTATGATTTGTAGTAAAGCAGCTTGGTTTTCAAATACACACATTCCATGGCATTGTATTTCATTCCATCTTGCTTGCTTCTTTTTCCATTCCCTTTATATGTGTGGTGGTGATCCGGTGATCACCATCACCTCGGGTTCTCTCCTCTTGTTGATGATCCTCTGGTTTTTTAATTTTTATTTTATTTCTTTTGAGTTTAGTACTGGATCACCTTTGCAAGGAAACGCCAGCACCCTCACACCCTGCAGGGGCCAACTCTGCAAGAACTTGTGTTCATGCATCATATTTCCACCTTTCTTTGTTCCCAATAAAGTCCCAATTCTACCACAGCTTACTGCCTCGTCATGGCGGGGGCCACTCACAGTGGGACATGCACATTGAGAAGGAATGCTTTGTAGCTGTTCTGGACAGGGATACATTAAACACTTTTAAAGTTTGTCTATCTTTTGTCTATTTTTGCAGAGTATAGAATCACCATGCTATGTGCTAACTGTAAGAATCATACGAATGCGCAACCTTCATCAGGCAGATTATTGTGAGTATTTTCATTTTTCACCATGATCCTTTAGCCCTGTTTTGGTGTTGGTGTTTTTATAGCAATTCATCTGAACATGTAAGTGGAGGGAGAAGGCTAGCTCTGCCCCCCCCCCCGATCATAGTTTTCTGCAAGTGGAAAGCTGTATTTGAAAAGGAAAGACATCTATGTGTGATGAACATTTCAGTGTGATGAGGAACCTTGGTTTCCAAGGGTTTCTGATCACATGAAAAGCCTCCACAGGTAGAAGCAGTTCTTCTATCCAGATTTTGTGCTTTGCATATGGGACACAAAGGCAGGTAAGGCTGCACTGCCTCCTCTGCTCACATGTTGAGATTAACCATTTTACTGAACATCTGAATAAAGCTCTTGTTAATCTGAAAGTCCTATGGCTGTGTACTAGGTGTACTATTTATTAAAGATTTAGGTGATTCCATCAATGCTGTTTTATTAACAAAATGCATAGTTTGTACTATTTCTACAGACAGTTCATACAGTCTATGCTTTCAAGAAAATGAAATATTGGTTGTCAGTAATAATAAAATGGTTGCTGAAATACCAATAAGGCTGCTGGAATAAGATTTTTAAAATGCAGTTCAAATGAAAGACAATATAGGATTTTCAGAGTTTGGCTTTAAATTTCAGCCACCATTAAACCTAGCTGAGTGGTTTTATTAGCCCTTGGTCATGATTTAGGTAACATCAAGTAGGAATAATTATGTGCAAAATGTGAGGCTTGGAACCTTCCTTCTCTATCTTCCACATAAAACTGGCAGGAGGAATAAGACAGCTTTCCAGATTATTTTTACAGTAAACTCTAGTTTACTAAACCGATCTCAGAAAGAAATGAAGGTTAGAAGTGGCTTTGTTCAGCTGCTGACTGGAATGTATTTTAAACCACAATTCCTTGCTTTCATGTAATAAAAAAACTGGCATTTGCTAAAGTGAGACTGGATTTATTCCTCTATCAACCTTACCTCTGGCAATAAAGGAAAATTAATGCTAAGAATTATTGCTCCAGTAATTAATGGAATAATGAGTGCCTAACTGGCATAACCTCTGATGAAGTCAGATTGAAAGTACAGTACAGTATGTCTCAAGTGAAACCTCTGAGGACTAGAGAATAAATATTAGGTTGGCTTTATTTTTCTCCCTAGAGTTGTGACAGATTTATGGATGTTTATCAACTTTAATTATAATGTCAGCATTAATTGTAATAGGGCCATTATGGTCACCTCAGATATGGAGCATCTAGAAATGTACTAATCTAGAATGCTTTAGCAGTGTTTTTGTGTACTAGAGAAATAAATATTTATCATATGTAATTGACTTGAGAGGGCAAATGTTTATTTTCTTTTGGGAAGAGCAGATGTAATAATAATATTACCAGGGTAGGGGAGAGGGATATCTATAGCCATATGCAATCATCAGCAACAACAACAACCACAGCCTCCTCCTCATTACACAGGTGGCATTTCACTTGATGTACCTTCCTCATGAAAGTATTATTATTGTTTCTGCTCTTCTCAGTACTGAAGAACGGAAGTGTTTCTCATTCAAGTTAAGTTGATCAAAGAGATGTTTGCATCTCTAATAAATGAACAAGAAAGTTTACTAGGTGTTTACAATTCATCTATGGCGGATGTACATAAAATAAATATTGCTGTTTAACATAATCTGTTTTAGCAACCCGCGGTAAGGTTGTAACAGTTCATAGTAGCTCATCAAGTCATGGTTTGGGGTTTCATCAACACAAACCATACTTTAGAACAATGTTTTGGTTTCAGTTTTCTCCTTGTTTAGCTCTCCTGCCTCTGATGCAGTGGCTTTGAATTTTGTGCCAGGAGGACAGCAAGATAGGACTCAAATCTTCTATGTTCTGGTTTAACACCCCTATCACTACACTACACTACATCAGCTATCTTTGCAGCTGAGCATAGTAGTGATCATTCACTCTTTCCAAAGCCCAGATAGCTTAGAAAACTATTTTACATGCAACAATCTGAGAATAGCTTCTTCTTCATCATATCATAGCAGGAATCTTTACCTATGTTCTCTGGTTAGCAAAGGACAAACACTTCCCCTGTGGAAAGTGTTTTGTTTAAAACATTTTTAATTTAGGGATGGGTAGGGAACTGGTTGGCCCTTGGAATAAAGCACTAATGTGTCAAGTGAGTAATTGAGACAAACAGATGGTCAAATGGCCTCTCATAAATCCCCCCCCCATCTTTTCTAAATCCACATGCAAGTTGGTACTCACAAGCTTCAAGCTGTTGATATGGGTGTGCATCAGGTAGGATAGTGATGATTTTTTTTATGTAAAGGAGAAGGAAGAAAGCATGAACTTAAATAGAGTGAAGTCAGCCAGGAATTTTGATTTCTTTCAGTGACATACAACAGATTTCCTTCAAGAGCACTAACTTAAAAGTTGTGTAGAAAGTACAAAGAGAGGCAAACAAATATAATATTACATTTAGTAGATAAAAACAGTTTAAGAAACAGTATTTACTCACAAAAGTATGTACTGTACTCAGAAACTTGACATAAAGACCTGATTGTTCATGGTAAAAAGAAGAATCATTTAGTCTGTTAAAATCATGACTGAAGAGAGAGCTCTACACAACATATTTTCAACTGGTACTAATGGAAAATGAAAACTGCCTCAGAGATAAAAAGGTTAAGCTCCCCTCCTGCTAAGAAAGAAGGAAAGAGAGCTGTTAATTGGCTGCTTAAGAACAAGTTAATTCTCATAATAGCATGCTGGGTTGAAACATATTTCAACAGTTTGCTTCTGTGCTGAAACAGGACCAGGAACAGCATATTTGTCTAGAGTTTGTAGATAACAGTAGGCAGTGTCATGCCCTCCAGGAGTCTTTGAGCAACAACTGGCATAAATCTCCAGCCATTATTTATAAATTTATGTCAGGAAATTATGTAGAGTATAAACTTGGGTAATACGTGGTTTAATCTGTCATGATTCTGTACTTGAATGATCCCCATCTACCTATTTTTTGTGCATTTAAAGTTTACAAATGACTTTTCTATGTATTCTTACATTCATATGCATATGTCTAAAATTACAGCTGCCAATTAGAGTGAGAATATATTCCAATAATTCTATTCCACTAATCTTTGGGGGGAGGGAGCCAGTGTCAAGCATTTATTAATTACAGTATATTAAATTTTGCAAAATGCAACCATAGATCCTGTAATGCGAAAGATCTTTTTCAGTAATTAGTTTGTCATATTTCCTGTCACCTGGTTTACCATGATACTAAGGCTCTTGCATCATTTTCATTTTCATCTTTGATTCAACCATGTTTGGAAAACATATTTGCTGAATTATTATTTCTAGCTTCCTCAGCCTTGCTGTGGTTTGTAAGAAAGGGGAACAGAGGGAAAATCTGTTGCAGATCACCACAAAAGACACATTAAAAAGTTTTTTGCCTTATCTTTCACTTTCCTGAGAATTAGTGCTGATGATTAAGGGAAGAAATGAAGTTAAGAAACTGAGGATCTTTGCTTAAAATCTTTGAATTGTTGCTATCATCTTTGAATATATTTACACATGACTGGATATATTTTAATCCATAATCTTAATGTTTTTCTTATGCTTGGTTTTCTTAAGAAACCCCTACCATCAGCATATATTATTGAGGCAAATGGGAAGATGTGGAGGATTCAGGATATGACATAATGAATATGAGTATGGATGTGTCACTAGAGTCTAAAACCAAGATCATCCGTTCTCTTGTATTCTTGATCACCATCTATGGGTGTGAAAGCTGGGCAGTGAAGAATACTGACAGAAGAAAAATGATTAGTTCAAAATATGGTGGCTGAGGGAGAGTTTTGCAGATACCCTTGACTTCCAGAAAGACAAAAAAAGGGAGTCAAGCCTCTCTTTTTTTAATGCCTGGCCTGGGCTATCATCTGAAGTAGCCATCTTTTTCAAGGAACAACTATTAGTTACCTGAGATGGCTTTTCCAAGTCAGTTAGTGAAAACGTTTGCCAAACATGTTTCCAGTACAGTATGTTTCTGAGCCCAATTCAGATTGCTAACTTCAGCCTATAAAGCTTTATATAATTTAGGAAACCAATACTTGATAGAGCACTGAAATAATAATCGGAAGCCTTCCTTTGAGTACTGCTCTGAAAGAGAATTGGAAGATGATGGCAATCATAAGAGCTTTTTTAGTTGTATCCTACAGGTATGGACTCCTTTCCCAAGAAAGAGCTTGACCACACCATTGTTGACCATTATTTGAGAACCAGTCAATATATTTATCTGTCCCCAGACACTTGACAGGATGTTACTGTCTGGCTTTAAGCCAATTTCTTTTCCCTATACAGTAATTTGTTTTCTTGAGAAAATAATGAGTGCATTTAATCTTTTTGCAGTAGTTTCCTGAATACACATGTCATCTTTCCACAGAAAACAGAAGCAGCCCCTGAAGAATCTCATAGATTTGCTGAAGTGCTGCAGTAATATTGCTGAGTTGTTATGCAGTACATTTTGTCACAGTATAGAGAGAAATGTAATACCCAGTCCACACAAAGTGATCCACAGCAGGGGGAATAGTGTCATACAACTGTTCATACTTTTAAAAGAGGGAGCAGATATGAATTCTAGAGATAAACACTGATTGGCTGAAATTCTGTTGCTTAGCGTAAGTATGCTGGAATAGACAACAATTTTGGGAAAAGCTGAAGGGAGGAAGATCAAATACTGTATGAGATGGAGTAACTCCCTAAAAGAAGCCAGTGCCTTGAGATTACAAGTGCTGAGCAGGGCTGTTGACAGGCCAGTTTGGAGATCACTCATTCATAAGATCTCCATAAATTGGAGGCACATTGACAGCACTTAACAATGAGTACATTTGCTTAATTTGCTTCTACCTTGCAGCTATTAAGATGTTAATGGATCCCTTTGAAAATGGTTCTTTATCAGGCGTGTACATGCCATCAATTGGAGATGGATCATTCTGGGTGAAATAGAAGGTCTTGAGGACAGTTTGTAAGGATTTGGCACTCCAGTCCTCATGTTATCCTGCACATGTAACATCTTGTGCTTCACCAAACCTATCTGCCAGGGGTTATCATACTGAGATATCCAACGCACCATCTGATCCACTTTCAGCCTTTGTGACTGACCAGCTGCAGGTGTTCTACAGTAGTCTGAATTCATTTCAGTCAGGGTTCAGGCCATGCCATGGGACTGAGACAGTTCTGCTCTCCTTTATGGGAGGCTGACCAGGGGATTGTAATCCTGTTGGTTCTCCTGGATCTCTCCGCTGCCTTTGATATTGTTGACCACCCTCCTGAGCTTCCATAAGCAAGCTTTTTACCCAGGTCTTTATGAACCTCACCCCTTTGTAATATTAATTTAATTTTTACATTTGGTTCACCAAATGGGTTTTTATTTTTACTGTATATGCTCAACCTTTTTTTGGTTGTTACTGCTTTTTAATTGTATAGATTACAGT